TAATAAAAAAACTGTGATGCGATAAGAAATCATCATCATCAGCGAGATACTACTTGTATCATTTGGTATAGGATTATAACAGACCTGAGGATCATATGGACGGGGCTACATGCGATGCGGTAAACCGTCTTTAAAAAACTCCAATATCATAGGGATTTATCTATCTTAAGAAGAGAGTATGATGTTGTTTTTTCGTTTGATTTTCATAAACAACCGGTTGCCACGCATTTTGCAACGTATAACTCTCCTTGTTTGAAAGGAACAAGAAACATCGACACGTCAACAAAGTCGATCTCTAAATTAATGAAACGATTGCAAAACATGTACAGAACAAAGATTTACAAGGACTATCGGGGACCAGGTTCTCTGGTTCATTGACGCTACTTGCCTTGTAGATACATGTTATTTCACCATGTTCTCAGATAAGATCAAGGCTGCAACAACGAAACCACCAGACAGACTAACAATATTGGACACATGAACGCCATATCACACAACGTAACCACCAGACAGACTGACAATATTGAACACATGAAAGCCATATCACACAACGAAACCACCAGACAGACTAACAATATTGAACACATGAACGCCATATCACACAACGAAACCACCAGACAGACTAACAATATCTAATACATGAACGCCATATCACACAACGAAACCACCAGACAGACTGACAATATCTAATACATGAACGCCATATCACACAACGAAACCACCAGACAGACTAACAATATTGGACACATGAACGCCATATCACACAACGAAACCACCAGGCAGACTAACAATAATGAACACATGAACGCCATATCACACAACGAAACCACCAGACAGACTGACAATATCTAATACATGAACGCCATATCACACAACGAAACCACCAGACAGACTGACAATATCTAATACATGAACGCCATATCACACAACGAAACCACCAGACAGACTGACAATATCTAATACATGAACGCCATATCACACAACGAAACCACCAGACAGACTAACAATATCCAACACATGAACGTCATATTATTATACACCTGAGTCCGAATAAGTGACAAGAAAATTCACGGGCACATAAACGTAGATTAGAATATCATAACGTGCTTTCAAATTATTTTCTTGGTGATGAAGTCGCGTGAGCTGTTCCTATTGTGCTTTATAAATATCACAGTTCCGCTACGATGTTAAACCGTGTCCATATTTAGTACCATTTAAAAGTAAAAAAGTGTTTAAATCAGAAGTTTTTGTCACAATTACAATATCAACGTCACAATGACAATATCGACGTCACAAAGACAATATATACGTCACAATGACATTATCTACGTCACAACGACAATATCTGCGTCACAATAACAATGTCTACTTCACAAAGACAAAGTATACGTCACAAGTACAACGTCTACTTCACAATTTACGTTAAAAGGGCAATGTCTACTTAATTGAAGTTTTAAAATGGTTGATGTCAATAACAGATAATCTACTCATCTTATAATAGTTTCCAGAGTCAAGTTGATGTTACATTTTCATTTAATTAGTTCCTAACAAATCATGTAACATTAAACATATTACAAAAAACACGAAAATGAAGAATACCTTTCAAGATAAGTTTCGATTTAGAGACTGTAGAATGAACTTATGCTACCATGTTTCGTCCTTCTAGGACTCGTCAATGATGCTGCATCATACGAATGTTTCGTCCTTCTAGGATTCGTCAATGATGCTGCATCATACGAATGTTTCGTCCTTCTAGGATTCGTCAATGATGCTGCATTATATAAATGTTTCGTCCTTCTAGATCGCGTCAGTGGAAACCAAAATTGATCGAAAGAAATGTCAGAATCTAGCTAAAAAGGCGCACCAGTCTCATAAATATATTTGATAACTTCAATGTTCACAGCAAATCGCGGGAAACGAATGTCCATCATTAGTATCTACCCCTACAATCTTGAACATTGTATACAAGACACACAAGTAATTTGCAACGTTCAATACAAATTTAGAAAAACTCGAAAAAATCGTTTTCTTCGTTAAATATCGTCTTACAGAAAGACAACTATATCTCTCTCTGACACACGTGAGTTGATTAGAACCTATCCAAACGACACATTTACCAACAACTTTTGTTTTTGTGTCGGTTTTTTATTACTTACATGTTCTTGGGTTGACCCATGGTTTACAAGGCGGATATTGTCGACCAAGCAGAAGACGCTTACATTTTCGGAACCCCTTTATACTTTACCAGGAGTCTTTGTGTACGTCTTTCATAATTTGCCCTAATGTAATCTTTAAGTTTGAATTTAGATCATGTTGGTATATTCTTTGTTCTTATGGTAGCCTCGGATCATTTTGCTAACAGAATGGTGACTTTCATGGTTCATGGCAGGATTCTGATCAAATTAATTTCTAGGGAAGTTACTGTAAGCATTATGTCTTACAACAATTATCCAATGAATACTCAGAATAGTTCGAAATAATTTAATTCAGTAAAAATAGTGTTGTCAGCAGGATTACACAAATTCTTTACTGAAGTCATTGGCAAGAGAGAAACATATTTTACAAAACACTTGTTGTAGTAGGGTAACCTTGAAAAGGTGCATTGGAGTTTTTTCATATACCAGATGAATCTTTTTTTAAACTAGAATCTAATTTGAATTGAAACTATAAATATTTAAATCTGTAAATATGAATCAAACTAGAAACAGAACAAAAAGTGTCATCCCTTGATAACAGAGAAATGTTAAGTTTGTTAATAAACACACATAGGTGAGTGACGCCATGACAGGGTGTGACGTCATCACTGAATGAAACGTAGTGGCTGAGCGGGTGAATACGTGTTATCTGTAAATATTAACACAGACGGGTGTGGTTTTACTTGTTAGAGTAACAAACAACAGCTAAGTTAGTCATTATACTTACACAGACGCCTGGTCCTATACTTTCAAAACAGCTAGGCTGACAACTTCCTGTTGTCCTTTGCGCATGCCACACCAATAGATCCAAATGTCCATTACCATGCCACGTGACGCTTTAAGGTGCTGTGGTTTAGAGTTAGTTCTATCCTCAGCACGGCCTTACAACACTTGTTAGGTTTACACACACCACCTCAAGTCAGTCGTTCTAGGCTAACAAAGTTCTGTGATCCTTTGCGCATGCCTTAACCCTATGTCTTGAATTACTACGCTAATATTGCTTTGGGAGTTTTCGGTGGATGTATAGCCACTTATACGTACATGTATGAGTATCATGTGTAATAGATACACCATTTACATAATTCAGCAGTGCCCCATTTCTGACGGGCTAATGATGTGTTGTACTTTACCGCTGTGAAATTCATCATTTTATTAACAGAGACGACTGACAAAATAATTAATCTAAAAATTGTGTTCTTATAATAAAAAAAAAAAAATCAAAACACGCGCAGTGATATTTTGGTAGCGTTCATTAGGATTCAATGTTCCTGAGATTTTTTTTCCCTTTCTTTTTTTTCTGCGTGAAACACACACACTCTGAAACCGATACGTGTTCAGCAAAAATGTGATATCTTAGCAGCGTTACAGACGCCATGAATGTATAGCGATATTACAACGATGAGTTATTTTTAATGAATTTCAATGTCAAGTCAACATCTGGTATGCTCGGTCGCAAGAGATATGTTTCAGTTGAAAGAGTTTGTTGAAGTAACCGGGTAATTTAATACGTTATAATTTACTAGTATGAATGACTCTCTAGCTCCGTCAGTGCATTGCTATCACCGTTTCTGAACTTGACCTGTAGGCGGTGAATTTACTTGATACATTTCATCATTTGAATTTTTTTATACAACATTTTACCCATGTCAGTATCAAGTACTACAATAACTCCCGCCCAGCCACACCCTACTAAACACAGTGAACAGTGCATTAAGCTGGATTCAAGCTGATTTTCTCCAGAACAGCCCATCAATGTTTCAGGTTTGCACATATGACATTGTTCAGTATTACGAAAAAGTGACAATTTTTTATACAGATTTCAGCTTCTAAGTCAAATTTTCATTATGATTTCTTGACTTGTGTAAATAAATCATTTTGATTTTTCAAAAGACATCGATCGTGGAATTTTCTTATCATATACATTACAATTTTCTGATTACCATGCACAGCGTGTAGAGTGATTTCAGTGCTTAGCGTGAATATATTGCTAATACGGATTAATACAAAGAACACAAATTACTGACTTCATCGACCAAATCTCTTCATATCTCTCTCTTCGATTGATGGTTATTATGCCAGTGCTGAATAGAACGAACTGTGATTTTGTAACGTGTGATGATTTTACAATCTGAAGTGTATTCTGCTCCTGAAAATGGCTTCAAATATAATTAATTTGACCCCGTATTCATAAAAACCAAACTTCGCAAAACATGTTTTTGCCATTTTGAATTCTGGTCTGATACCATTATGAAGACATTTATTTGTCTTTCCACGTTAGATTGCCTTACCAAAACAGGAATCTTTTCACTAAAAAAATTAACTTGAATATGCAGCAAATTTGGTAAAAATGTTTTTGATTAGACTTTACAGAATGTATTTGCCAACAAATTCAAAATCACCGGCACTGAACCATTAAATGCATTTTAAGGAGAAATATAAAATTTGTTCAAGAACGCGCTCTTTTTGGTCGCTTATATATATACCTCCTTGATTAATGCAAATTTGAGGCGGTAACCATGGCAATTTTAGTTGAATCAACAAATAAATGTAATTACAATGGTATCAGGGAAATATTTTGAAATACAGTGATTGTAGAGTATAAAAAACGATGAATTCGGAGGTCACAAAGACCGAAATCATACATACGGTGTAGTTTTTCGTTGTTGTTTCGAGATCGTTTGATATGATAAAAACCAGAAGTTATGTTTCGACAAGAAAATGTCTACTGACGACAGCAAAACAGTTTTATTAGTCAAACACAAGATAAACACGAGACAAATAACAAATAACAAAAAATTGGTCAGTTTACTAAATAAGCATTAGAATGATAATGGACTAGATTGCTATCGTTTGCTTTGGTTTTGATTTTGGTTTTTGAGGGTTGTGAGTAATTGGTTAAGCTCCTTTTCGGACCCGAAGCGTGGTATCCGAGAGTCGTGCCTAAGTCCCTCTACTTTATACTGCATAGGAGATGTTCGAACTATAGTAGATCGCCGTAACTCATATTCACTGGTGGAAAACAGAGATTCGGATCGGGGTCTTTTCATCGGCGGATCACACATGCAGTGCAGACAAAACCTACAACATGATTGGTTCTCACCATCGTTCATAAGGTTAGCCTTCTGGATGGTCAGTTCGTAGTCCGGTTCATTTTCTCGGACTCCAAACAAAAATTTGATGCCCTGGATAACCTTCCAAACTACTTCCCTCCTCAGGAGGATGTAGACCCAAGGATCAAGGATTTGATTCAGAGACGCAAACCGGATCATAAGTAAATCTGTTTTGAGGTCCGGTTTCACTCCTGTCTGGTTGATAAGTATACGGACCTGCAAAAGACAACAGGAGAAAAATGTACTTATGTCGTATTTTGTTTTAAATTGGTAAAACTGCAAATATTGATGGAATTTATTGATAAATATTTTAAAATCATCAATGTAAATTGTATACAACACTAACTATACACAATCCCATGGACAATAAAAAAGGGTTATTAAAGATAATGATCTGTTATAAATCAATTTTACGATAGTAAACCAGGGACTTTTTCAAAGACCGACATGACAATTGTCATACCACACAAATTGAAGACACGTTCTTCGTTGTATAATAATGCTCAGCAATGCCGAGGTCATGCGTTTGAAACCAGCAAATCATCTACATAACCTGTAATTACGTACTTAACAGTGAATGTACCATCAATGATGTTATTACATAACTCTCAGCAAGGTGTCCTTGTTGTCAATTAGAAGGATTACGGGACAGTGACTGGTCTAATGAAAGTCTATACAAGTACCTTAGTTGTGTCGTGACTACTTCAGACCAATGCACGACCATTCAATGGTCAACGCCAGAGTTGTAACACTCGTTAATACATAGGTAGTCAAGTGGTAGCGTCCATATGAAGAACAGATTTTCTCTCAAACTCTAAGCTCCAGGCTGATGGCCCTCTGATTGGCGATTAGCATTGATAACTAGAAGGCGTATCAGCATGATAAGTTAACCCTAAATTTGATTTCCAGAGAATAAATGACATTCCTTATTAATAAATATTCGACAGGACACCTAATATGGACGTAATTGTTGTTGTTTGGTTGAATAGAACTTAGAAACTTATATTAGTTTTCCTTTTGAATGCGTGTTTGTGTGTGTGGTGTGGTGTGTGTGTGTGGGAGGTGTTCTAACTGCCAGTACAAGTTTCTGAGAGGGCTTTCTCCCTCTACCGAAAAGAGCGATGGTGATAACTATATCTGTAACAATTCTGTAAAACAAATTTGTTTTTCTTTTATTTTCTCTTTTTTTTTATCTAGAAACTAAAAAAAAAAAAAAAATTAATCTATTTCACTCACTTCTTTTTCTGGCCCCAGATAGCGGAAATCAATTAGTTCAACAAAAACAACAAACGAGATCGACCTCCATTTTTATAAAGTATGTCAGCGCCAGTTTATTACTTACAATTAAAAAAGTTCTTGATTTTTATCTACTCTTTAAATACTGTTGCGTTGTCAAGGTTATGTCATATAAATTACCAGTTTATGGTTACATCGAGTCCGTTTTAAATCAGTGATCACATGGAACCCTAACACAATGTAAACATAGCTTTTCAGTTCATGTGTTTTGTATTGAAGTTCCATTAGCACATTGTCAACATGAACTGGAAACGGAAGGACGGATATCAATAACTTCTCCAGCTGAAGCGTTAGGTACCCATACCCTATTAACTTGTACGGGTACTCGAGGGAGGGCGTTAAGTGGTAGTCTACCTTCCTATCAGCTGGCTCTCTCATATCAGTAATTGACAGTGATGTTAGAAAAAACAATGTGAAATGAAAACTAAACAAAACCGGCTGTTCATTCGGTGGAGACTCGTGCCACCAGTTAGTACCCGGATGTTGCAGTCATTGTGGTGTGTTCGATTTGCCAAGAGAGTGGTGTTACATCAGTCGTTTACGAGAACGCGGAGGAAATTTGTTAGTCACGACTTTGATAAATAACTCCCAAAAAATAGTGGTGCTTTATCTGGAACTGGTTTTCATTAATGTCCACATCTCCCTCATCTAAATGTGATAACATTGTTATTCAATATCTACCAACATGTACAGGGCGAGAAAACTTGAATTACCACCAACAAGGTTTAAAAGTGTTGAAATTATCAAACTAATACACTCATAAACAAACTAATATGCCAATTTACGAAACCGATGCTGCTGTTTATAAACACAAGGAATGTATTATGTAATGTGTTTAACCCATCATCTAAGCCTCGTTTTAGGAGGAAAAAAATAACCATGTATGAGCAGACATCGTAGAGCGAAATGAACTTAACTACATCATACAACTGTTTCCTACTTCTGGGATTCGTCGGTGATGCTAGGGACCTAATTGTTGAAGCCTCTGTCAACATTTGCTCGTACATTTAAAAACGTGATTTTGACAAAACATGTTTATAGAAATAAACCAACACAATCTTTATACAGCCGACTATAAATTGTGCATATACTCCTTAAATTTATAATTGAATAAAAATAACAGCTTTAAACATAAATTCATTTATTTTCAGTAGGTATATTTATTTAAAAAAAATACCTCAATTTACAAAACATACTCATGGAATAAATAAAGCATATATATGCGTACCTTATGCTCAGTGCCTCGTTAACTTTCAACACTTTCTTGCTGGTTTTTAATATTTGTGAGTCTTCTTTCGATTATCACAGGGTTTGTATACCATAATAAAAATAAATACATAGAGGATATTCATTATTCAGTAATAAAATATATTTCATGAGTGTGTCTAGTATTTTATGTATCGTTCACGGGTGCTAAATGTTACTTATTCAATCAATGTCACTAACAGACAAGATTTGCTGTAAAACGTTCAGAAAGTTAAACCTGTGACAAGTTACTACGCGGCTAAAAAATGTCGGCAACGTACAGATGGCGCTGTTGACAACAGGAATCCTCTTGAAATGTCTAACGTGTTAGCTCTGCATTTTAGACGTAAGGCTGGGGATTGGGTTCGATTTCTGATAATGTAATTTTTGTTACATTGTTTACTGACATTCATGGAAATGAAAGTTTACCATGGAATTGAATTGTGTTACTAGTAAACAAATCCTTCAGGTTTCTGGTTTTGTGTTTTTTTGTACCGGGCTTTATGATTTGTCAATTTTATAAGATGCTTTGTGTTCTCTCTTTTCATTGGTGTAAATCTGCAAAAGTGTTTTTTTTCACTAGTAAAAAGTAACACATTTATCAATGAGATATACGTGTAACTTAATATTTCACCAGCAAAATGTAATAAATCGTAGTTACATTTAGTTACAAAGTACACCCCTGTAGTTACATGTAGTTACTAAGTATACCGTAGTTACATGTAGTTACAAAGTACACCGTAGTTACATGTAGTTACAAAGTACACCCCTGTAGTTACATGTGGTTACAAAGTATCTGAGAACCGGTTTCCCAAACAGACATTTTGATATAGATCACAATCACCAATTAATTACAATTAAGTAGAATATATGCTGACATACGCGAATCAATCCGATTGTCCAGGTGTGAGTGACTTTTGCGCATGCGTGACCTCACGGGTCTCCACACCAAGGAGTCAGAAACACGTCAGATTCTGGCTTTCTAACGATGCGTATGACACCGATGCTCATGCGCAAATCATCACGTGTCGTCCGTGTGCTTGAGGGTTCGTTTGAAACAGGGCCTGCTGGGAATTCTAACGGTAAATGACAGTTAAATATGATGACGTAGACACAACTTCTGTGTACATAATCAAGTCTGCTGGGACAACACGGTCGAGCGTAAAATCCGCATAGCTTGCGATTAATTTACAGATTTCATTCAAAACGGACCAAATAGTCACAGATTAGGACTTACAATAATAAACGACCAGAATTATTAAGACAATGATTCCAGTATGCTGTTATCTTTAGCTTTGAAATCTCAAGAAATGAATAGTATTTCATTATCATCGGTTGGTGCTCAAATAACGGAACCAAAAGCCGCACTGGACCTTATTGGTAAATATTTTACCACGCCGCAACCACATGATGGCGCCTAGGGGACATAATAATATAGTCGGACAATTAGTATTGCGGAAAACTCAACATTTTATAAAGCATGTCAAACATTTTATAAAGTATGTCAGTGAGTTTTGGGATACTCCACATCTTTATAAAGTATGTCAGTGAGTTTTGGGATACTCCACATCTTTATAAAGTATGTCAGTGAGTTTTGGGATACTCCACATCTTTATAAAGTATGTCGGTGAGTTTTTGGGAACTCCACATCTTTATAAAGTATGTCAGTGAGTTTTTGGGATACTCCACATCTTTACCAACTGTTGTTGGAAAGCATGCCAACAAAGGAACTCCAGATACTAGTACTTAACGGAGACATGTGAACAGGCTCTGTCGAATTAGCTGTGAGAGGTGACTTTCTGATTCTTAAAACCACGATCTGATGTAGAGTAGAGAATTAGTCACTACATAGAAAGTAAATGGAACGTTTATATCTGGGGAACAGAAAGTTCCTTGTCATGAAATTTAACAGACGATGCAACTTACAAATAATGCGTTGTACTATTTCTTTTGATGCCAAACCTTTTACAATCTAGGCATGCTGTTTGAAGATTCATCTGAAGATATTTTGAGCTCAGAATGAATAAGGTGTATCAAGCACATAGTAAACTGAACTGCATAATTGATGTTTGGGTAATAGTATCATATTCTGAAATGAAAAAAGACCTATATTTCTGTATATAATTCCGGGAAAAAATTTAATTGACGAAGATTAGAGAACAATGTGCCGTATGTTTCAACTTTTAATTTTTTAGAGCAAAAAGTTATCATACAAGACAGTTGTAATCTCAACGTGTCTATATAATCATGAAGCTTCAAAATCATGTCGTAAAAAAGTTTGGAATTCTCTGTGAAATTGATTTGAATAGTTGGGTGAAGTAAAACAGAGGTTTTGATTAAGATAATTTTTAGGACTCGTCAAGTGCTGCCTAATGTTCTGTTTGTACCAAACATCATGTAAATACACGTAACACCATCCTACCTTCCTTTTCTTTTACTAATTCTCTGTACAGACATCAAAGTCACCGTTAAATCAAACATCGTCATTTAATCGTCTTTGTGCGTAAAGTGATGCTGAAAATTACTTGATTCCACGAAATAACTTCCCAGAGCACGCTACCATAATCAAGTCAGTGTGATAGATTCCGTACTATTACCGTTTTAAAGTGTTGTGGTATCTTTAAATAGTCACAGGTAAGGTTCTGTACGTAGTAGCTGCTACCGTAATGAGGAGA